GAGCCCTTATATTGGGGAACCCCGCAACAACGCCCCATGCAGCCCCACCCCCTAAGTCCCGCCCCTCTCAGGTGGCGCACAAGCACCCTACTACGATAACCCCCCACCGCAAGCATAAAAGTGGACCCTGGGCCCAGCCCCATAAAGAGCGCCCCTTAAAACCCCACCCCTCGAGGCTCGGGCCTTACACAGGAGGCTTAAAGCCCCGTCTCAGGTCAAGCCCTGCCCCGCACCGGCCGCTCTGCCTTTGTAAAGGGGAGCCCTGCCCCCCGGCCCTGGAGGCAGCCCCCCATCCTCCCCATCCTCTATAAAACAGACCCGTACTACCTGCCCCGGGATCCCTGCCTCCTGATGCATTGATTCCTCCATAAAGCAAACCTCTAATCCCTAACCCCCCAAAATGACCCCACCACTATAAAAGTGCCCCCTCAAGCCCTGCCCCTCCAAACGCCACCTTATAAAGGGGACATTTTAAGCTTCACCCTCCTCCTCACCTCCCCAAATATCCCCTATTCCAATTCCCACAGCCCTCGTGGAGGTGCTCCCACCCCCCCTTAAGTCCCTGCACCCAGAGCCTCCACGGGTGCCTGCCCCCAATTTCCCTCACTCCAGCAGCAGCATTTGAGGATCAGAGACATTTATTGGGGTCCAGCAGTAGTGAGGGAGGTCTCCAATAGAGTGTGAGTCCTAGGGATGTCCCCTTGGGGGATGATGTCCCTCCAGTTCCTGGGTCCTGGAATGATTACAGGTGGGGACCCACAATAATCTGAGAAGTGCTGAAGTCAGGAAAGGAACCCCCACCCAGGGATGTGTTGCCCGGGGAGTTTGTGGGGTGCCATGGTGGGGGCCCTCAGGAGGGGTATTGAGAAGGGAGTTCCAGGTGGGGGATGTCTCAATGTGGGGATCTCCCAGGGACCCCCCAATAGGATTAGGGATGTGAAAGTGTCAGGAGGGGTGGGTGTGGGTGGGTGCCAGGGATTGGGCCATGGTGTGGGGATCCCGGGGGTGTCCTTCATCAGACGCTCCCCCTCTGGGGCCCTTGCAGGTGTTGGGCTAGCTGCAGGTCCTTGGGGAGCAAGAGGATGCAGTGGGCAGTGAGAACAGTTATGAATCCTCCATCACCTGCACTCTGAAGCCCCTCAGCATCTCCTGACCCCTGGGCAGCATCTCCCAGGGGCAGAAACCCCCTAAACACACTCTCAGGGCACAGGGTCCTTTCAAATCCAGCCACTGGCAGCTCAAACACCCTGTACCCCTCAAAGTGGGTAGTTGGCCCCATTATCAAGTGACCCTCTCCCCATACCCTGACAGACCTCCCCCTGGGAGAAGGGGCCCCCCCATAGCACTTCCCACAGCCCTCCATCCATGGAGGTCACAGACCCCCCCCACTACAAACCTGTCAGCCCCATGGGCTCTCCCTGAGCCCCAACAACGTCCCCTTAGCACCCACAGATATCCTCCTAGACTTCCCTAAGCCCCCAGAGCCACCCCCAGAACCCCCAGGATCTGCCACAGCCCCTCTGGACACCCCCACCCCCCGAGTACCCATAGCTCCCTTCCAACTGCCCACAGAACCCTCCCAGCCCCCCACCCCCACCCCAAACCCCCACAGGAGGGTTCCCCTTGGACCACCTTTGGTCCCCCTGCCGCACCAGCTGACACGGGGACACGGGGAATGTTGGGGGACATAGGAGGACATGGGGGACATGGTGACAGGAGGGGGATATGGGGGACATGGGGACATCGGGGTCATGGAAGGCACAGGAGTCAGAATGATGTGGGTGGCCGTAGGGGACATGGAGGGGGGGCTGTGGGAGACATCAGGACATGGGAAGACAGGATGGGGACATCCTGATCTGGGGCCATATCACCCTGGGGAGACCTCGGGGACACCCCAGGAAGGGGGACAAGGGGGTGACATCCTGGGGAGATCTTGAGCGTGGGGGCTTGGAGGGCACCCCCCTGGCGACATCCACTGTGGGGAAAGGGGACACAAAGATAGCCTGGGGGCATGGAGACAGCGCTCTAGGGACCCCCTAATGGGACAGGGAGCCAGTGCCACTACAGGGGAAGGGGCACAGGGAACATGCATCCCCTGGGGGATGGGTGGACGCAAGGACATCAGGAGGCACACAAGGACACTGCAGGAGGACAAGGCCATATGCTGGGGGGAAGGCAAGGACGTGGTGGGGCTGGAACAGTGTGGAGGGGGAGGCTTTGTGTAGGGGTGGTCCCAGGGGCCTCCAGGGAGTCTTTAGGGGGGCCCCAGGGTGGATTTGGGTGGTGCCAGGGGCTTCTCAGCAGATGTTTTCACATCACAGGGTGGATTTGGGGGCATCTAATGGGGGTTGGAGGGTCCTGGGAGGGGGTGGGGTTCCCCGGCACTCTGGGGTGTATGAGGGTGGGTTTAGGGGGTCTGGAGGGGGTTTGAGGGTTCCGGAGAGTCTTTGTGGGGATTCTGAAGGTGGAATTTGGTGTTCCAGGGCAGACTGGCAGGAGGGCAGTCTGGAGGGTCCCAATTGGTGTTTGGGGGATTCCTGGGAGGGAGGGAGGGAGGGAGGGAGGGAGAGGTTTTCAGGTTACATTTCGGGGCTGCTAGAGGGTCCCAGGGAGTAGAGGGTGTCTGGGGCAGGGGGGGGGGTGTCTCATGGTGAATTTGAGGGGTCAGGATGTTCTTGAGTAGATTAGGAGTGTCCCAGGGATTGTTTGTGAGGATCCCAGGGTTGATTTGGGGGGTGCAGGGTGGATTTTGGGGGTCTAGGGGGCTGCAGCGTCCCATGAGATATTGGGGGATGATGGGGATTTGTGGTTTCCAGAGTTGCCTTGGGGGGACCCTGATTAGATTTGGGGGACCAGGGAGGGTGACAGGGGCTGGAGAGGGGTCCTGATGGATGTTGAGGGTCCCAATATGGATTTGAGGGATTCCTGAGGGGGTGTTGGAGGGTACCAAGGCATCCCTGGAGGATTGGGGAGATTCAAGGGCATCCTGGGGAACATTGGGAGTCCTGGGGTGGATTTGGAAGGGTCCCAGGGGCTGTTTGGAAGGGTTCCCAGAATGGATTTGGGAGTCACTGGGGGATATTGAGGGGTTCCAGAGTGGGAGGAAAGGCAGGTGTCACAACCCACCAGTCAGGGGTGGCAAATTCTTTGTAAATTTTCATCAGGCTGAACAAAGACCCCAGACACATGTCAAGGGGTCAGCCTCATGAGGCACAGTCACCCAGAGATGCAGACAAAGCTCAATGCACATGATCCATGTGTAGGAACCTTACATGGAGCATTTCCTTGTCATTTCCCAGTTCACTGGCAGTGCTGGTCTGCAGAGACAGAGGGGCATTGATGAAGTGCCTCACCTGTTTCAGGAGCACAAAGACAATCTCTCTTCCTCCCTTGTACTGGCTGTAGAGAAACTGTCCTGGGAGTTCCAGCAATTCACCAGTTCAGCACCCCAGCAGAATGTCCTGCCTCCACCCATATGGACCAGACTCTCAGCTATCAGCAGGCACCCTTTCTCCCTAAAGGTAGGATGGAGAAGGTGTGAACCACTCAGACACCAGCAGCCCTCTCCTGCCCCTGAACAGCTGGGCTGCTTGCCCCAGCACCTTTAAGAGCTGGGTCAGGAACCAGCAGTCCTCACCAGTGCCTGGAAAACCAGTTCATCTCCCAGAGCATCAGGGAACCAGCCCCTCCCAACCTAGGTAGGCACACAACACACTTGCCTCCACCTGAGCCCCACAGCTGCCCAACTCAACCAGATGCGCACTGCAGTACCAGCCCAGAGCCCTTCAGCCCTCACAGAAACAGAACCCACTCCTGGATGGCTTCAGGGGGCAATCAGTGGTTTCATAATAAAGGCAGAATGATAAACACAGACCAGGAGCAGAGTCATCTGGGTTTGCTGCTGGTCGCTGAGTGCCACTGCCCCTCCCATACTTACAGGCGCAGGGCAGTGGTTGAAGGAACAGAACCCTTCCCCAGCTAAAACACTAAGGACCCCCCATGGATCAGTTCAGTCCTCAGACCAGCTTACTCTCTTCCCTCTGGATCCTCCTGGGGTGCCTGGTGTAACCACCCCACCAGCAGGGGTCCTCCTGCCCCTCAGCACCTTCTATTCCCTCCCCCACCAGTGCCAAACCCTGCCCTCCCCAGCTAGCAACAGAAGGGAACGGCTATGGTGTGTGTAATTTAACTCGTTTTATTTAGATTCGAAGGTAACTGCGGCCCAGTGGGACCGTGACCCAGTAGAAACGCAGCAGTACATCAGGACTGGGGTGGGAGCGGGTGAGCTGCAGCGGGCTGTGGCGCCCAGGCTGCCTGAGGAGCCGTCAGTCGGTGAGAGAAGGGTTTACGAGAGCTGCCCACAGTCGGTGATGGTGATCTTCTTGCTTGTTTTGCCATCTTTGGAGCCGCAGCGCTCCATGGCCTCCACCACATTCATCCCCTCCTTGACGCGGCCGAAGACAACATGCTTGCCATCCAGCCTGCGGAGAACCACCAGTCACAGCCGGTCCCATATCCCCCAACACAGGACATCTCCCAGATGCAGAGCCCCAGCTCCTCCTCCCACAGCCCACGACTCACCACTCGGTCTTGGCAGTGCAGATGAAGAACTGGGAACCGTTCGTGTTGGGGCCAGCATTGGCCATCGACAGGATACCAGGACCCGTGTGCTTCAGGATGAAGTTCTCATCTGGGAACTTCTCCCCATAGATGGATTTGCCTCCAGTGCCATTGTGGCGTGTGAAGTCACCACCCTGTGAAAAGGCAGTATTTCAGGGCATGGGTGCAGAACACTCTGGAACTGGGTGCAGGCAAATGGCAGAACCAATCCATCTCCAAAACCTGAGTGCCAGACTGCCTCACCTACCCACCTACCCACCCACCACAGCAGGAGCACCACGCACCTGGCACATGAACCCAGGAATGATTCTGTGGAAGCAGGACCCCTTGTAGCCAAATCCCTTCTCACCAGTGCTCAGAGCACGGAAGTTTTCTGCAAAGGAAATAAAACCCCACCATGAACAGATTTGTTGAGTTTGGGGCTCAGTACAGTCGCCGTGGAGCCAAAGTTGTTTTACCAACCTGCTGTCTTCGGCACCTTGTCTGCAAAGAGCTGTAAAGACAGGAAAAGCATTTGTCAAATCCGGGCTGGCCACTGCCCCCCACTCTCAGAGGCCAGTCCAGACACTGCTCGGAGCCCAGGGACCCCCACCGGGTGGGGGCTTCTGGGCCGTGCCAGCAGCTCTAGATTCCTCCCCGTCTCACACCGTTATCTGCAAGCTCTGAACTAACAGATGCAGCATCGCTCATCTCACCAGCGGTGCAGAGAAGGGTTCATTCTGCTGGCCTGGATTAAATTAAACATTAATGTGCCCAAGACTTCCTGGGCGGGGCGTGCGCGCCGCCTCCCAACGCTTCGGGAGGATTTTGGGCTGGATGCGCCGCCCGTGGGGGAGCGCGGCCCCGAATCCGCAGCAGCCGCGGCGCCCGGAGCAGGCCCGGCCGTGCCAGGGATGCTCTGCGCCCCGGGCGGGGTGAGAAATGCTTCGCCCTCCAGCGACAATCCCGCAGTGATCAGGTTGCCGGCACTCCCCGCCGACATCCCCAGACTCAGCAGCACCGCCCGGGAGCTCGACGCGGCTTATCCCGATGCTCCGGGGGCCTTGCGATAAAATGGCGGCGGAGCCGCCACGGCCGCAACCCGCAGTTGGGGGGAACTGCCGCGCCCCCCCCGGCCCGGGGCGGAGCGGAGGCGCGGCGGGAACGCGTCGGCAGCGAGGCCGGCGGAAACGGGGATCCAGCGGCACCGGACCAGGTGCGCATGGACTGCCTCGGGCGATGGCGCGCCCTGGGCTGGCACCGCGCCGCCGCTCCTGGAGCCGTCCGAGCGCGACGCTCGGGGCCCTTTGTTCGCCCCACCGGGCCGGCGGCGCCCCAGCCCCGCAACCACCAACGCGCCCCCGCCGCGCACGCGCGGCGCCGGCTGACCCCCCACCGGCCCAGCGCGCCCGGCGAGGAAACGGCAGCGGCGCCCACCGCCCCTCCCCGGCCGCCTCCCGCGCCCACCTCGAAGGTGACGCGACCCAGGGGCTCGTTATTAGCGGCGATATCGAAGAAGACGACGGGGTTGGCCATGGCGACACACGAGCAGGGCAGCAGAGACTCGTCCGTACGGCGGGCGCAGCGCAGCAGAAGGAGCGCAGTCCCCCGCCGCCCCTTATATAGGGTTGATGAGGGCCCGCCTCCCTCGCAGAGCCGACCAACGGCCGCTGGCAGAGTGGCGGAGTGGCGGGGCAGGCAACCAATCGGCGGTACCGCCTTTGAAAGGGGGGGGAAGGGGGAAAAAAGCGCGGGCGGGGTGGGGGCCGCGGTCCGGCGCTGGGCAGGGCGCGGCGCGCATGCGCCGTGCGGAGAGCGAGGAGTGGCGGGATGGCGCAGGGGAGGCGGGCGCGGCGCTGGGCAGCCGTGAGGGGAGTCTCGGGGGATGCGGCGGCACCAGGGCCTCTGGGGCTTGGAGCTGCGGCCCAGCCGTAGCCGCCCACCCCCCAACGTGCGGAGACACCCGATTGTCCTCCTCCGCCGTCGGACTGCAGCACCGCCCAGCCGGCCCCGGTTAATGATTGACGCCACAGGTCCGGTTCACCGCCCAGCCCGGCCGCCGCTGCTCGGCGATAGGGCAGGATTCCCTCGCTACTCGAGACACACCTCCCCCCTCTGCCCGTACAGAGGCCTGGATCCTCCCGCCACCCGAGGGCCTCCCCTGCGCGCTCAGAGGGGTGGCGGGGCCAGCCCCACAGCGGGATGACAAAAGATGGGGGACACGCGTGACCCTGCAGAAGGATCCTTTAATAGCCATCGGGGACATACAGGGCAGCTCGTCGCGGGGCAGGGGGAGCTGAGCTCCACACCCCATGCCAGACCCGTGCGGTTAAAAGGGGCAGCAGCATTTGCACATTGATAGGGGGGCACGGGCAGCCCCGCACTTGCCTTTAAATATGGGGAGTCTCGGGGGAGCAGTAGTGTTTCTACACTATGTACAGCCTTGTGCTTCTGGGGGGGCTCAGCCCCTCTGTCCCATCGCAGCCCTTTGAGAAAGCCCCCACGGTAGGGGGTCCCAGCTCTGCAGCGGGCAGGGGCACACAGTGCTGCCCCCCAGCCCCGGGAGGGGGGCGAGGATGGCTCAGTTATTCTCGAAGAGAGAGAGGAGGTCATCGTTGCTGCTGCTGGGGAGGTCGGGGGGCCCCAGGTAGGAGAGCAGCTCGTCAGGATTCGTCAGCTCAGGCAGGAGCTGGGGGTGGCAGTGTGTGATGATCGGCTCCCCGCAGCTTCTGCCCACCCCCCTGCAGCAGCTGGGGTCCCGAGCCAGCGGCCGGACCCTTGTCCACCCCCCTGAGTACTCACGTCGAGGGCAGCCTCGGAGCCATCGCCCGCCGCGGCCATGCTGGGTGCGGGGGGGAAGACGAGGTCGGCGGTGTGGGCCGGGGCTCCCAGGGGCGGCCGTACCCCTGCGCCCCGAGAGTGCAGCGTGGAGCTGGGCTGGCTGCCCGAGGGAGCACTGTGCAGCCCCGTCTGCACGACGGGGTGGGATGGTTCCATTCGTCCCGCTGGGGGAAGCTGGGGAGTGTGCGGAAAGAGCATAGTCATGAGACCCTCCCTCCCCCGGGACCCCCCAGCCCACACAGAGTGAGACATGAGGGTTTGTGGGGAGTCCCTCCACCTATAGCCCAGCTGACCTGTGCAGGCAGAGTGGGCACAGGAGGCTTCTCAGGGGCCAGAAGGCTGCCTGGGATGTTGGGCTGGTAGGAGATGGAGGAGGGGCCTGGTGTGAAGTCACTCAGCGTTGAGGGGCCAGGGACACCAGGGGCAGCAAAAGGCTCTTGGAAGCCCCCAGGACCCAGAAAGCTGGAACCTGTGAGAGGAAATGGGGCAATTGGGGGACACACACACAGGGATGGGGTTCAGTCCTGTCCCCCATGGGTGCCCCCCGTACCCGGGGTGCCGTAGTCGGTGGTAGCCCCCACTGGAGGTTGTGACAATGCTGGGAAGGGCACAGAGCCAGGCCCCAGGGCCGCAATCATCTCCATGATGTTGGGCAGCACCATGTGTGCAGGACTGAGTGTCCGGCACCGCTTCAGCGCTGGCCCCTCCGGCTCCTCCTTGATGTGGACGTCAGGTTTCATAGGGACGGGTTTCCAGCTGCAGGTCGGGTCGATGGTGATCTCCTCATGCTCTGAACTGGGGACAGCAGGACCACAGGGGAGGTGAGGCTGGGGGCACTGGCTGCATAGCCACCCCTGGGGTGGCACAGGACTAGGCATGGAGGGACAGACAGCCAACGGGAAGGCACTTACTTCTGAATGTAGATCAGGATGCCCAGCATGTACTGGTCAACCTCCAGCCCCTCCAGCAGGGCTGTCTTACTGCAGGCAGAGAGAGAACAGATTGAGGTATGGGAACCCCCACCAGACAGGAACCTCCCCCTAAGGCAAGAACTGTTCCTCTCCCAGGGCAGGAAATAGATTCCCCACAGGTAGTGAAACACACACCCATGCCCTGCAGGCAGGGACAACAGGGCATGGCCCCATTGCAGACCCCACTCACTTGCAGACAGGACACCGCCATGTTCCCCTCTCACAGTTGAGCTGCAGGTATGACTCCAGGTCAAAGCACTGTGGGGAGAGCAGCAGTTGAGATGGAAGAGGCAGGATACTGGATACAGCACCCTGTCATCACCACGCCCTACCTGTATGTGCCGGCAGTCATGACCCCTGGCTGGAAGCTGGATCCTCCGGAAGGTGATAGGGCATTTGAGGGACACCTTGATGGCTGTCTGCTCCACACCATCCTCACCATTGGGCCCTGGTGTCCCTGGGATGGTCCCACTGCTGAAGTTGCGCTTGACTGGGAAAGTGAGGGCGAGGGGCACCAAGGGTCAGAACCAGGACCCTGGGATGGGGGTGGCACCATGGTGGCACCTGGGCAACACTGCAGCATTACCCCCATCCTGCTGTGGCCTCCCTGCCACAGTGCATCCTGCTAAGCCCCAGGTGCTCACTTTTGGTGATGCAGTGCTCAGCAGGGAGCAGGCGCTTCTTGATAAGCCCCTGCAGCACCGAGCGCACCGAGGGCCGGTGCACCAGCTGCAGGACGAACAGGTGGGACTGTGGAGAGACAGGAGGCTGAGCTGCGGCCCCAGCCAGCACCCTCCCTCTCCTGGTACCCTCCTGGTGACTCACACAGCAGCAGGCGGTGACAGTGATCTGGATAGTGTTTCTGCCAGGCTGGCAAACGTGCTTCAGGTAGAGTGGCTTGTGGGAGGTCTTGTTGTCACCACGCTCGATGGTGAGCGGCGTGGCATTGACGCTCACCTGCACGGAGGCCGGCCAGTTGGTGTTCATCTGCCGGTCCTCGTGGTGGTAGCACTTGAACTGCAGCTCCAGGTCAGGCCTGGGGACAGGCAGGTTGTGGGCAGGGGGTGTGTCCACATGTGTCACCACACCGTGCTGCTCCCTGCTCTGAGCCACGCAAAACCATGCAGTGCTAAGCCATTCCATGTTACACTGAGTCATATGGCACTGTGACAAACCCCAACAGCAGCACAGCACTGTGCCAGGCCACATCCCACCATGCTGTGCCATGCCAAGCCATGCCCCAAAGCACCAGGCTGTGCCACAACGTGCCAAACACCATGACACCACGCAGAACCACAGCAGTACAGCTGTGCCAAGCCACACTTCACACCGTGATGCAGGGACAGTGCTGTGCCCAGCCATACCAGACCACACATCCCCGTGCCACATGGCACACGCAGTGCCCAGATGTGCTGCAAGCATAGCCCCACTCCACAGCACACGGTGCCATAGAGCAGCCCCGAGCAGCACTGTGTGACACTCCAGAAGATGCCCCCCAGCATCCCCACCTCATCATGAGGGTTTTGTAGACAGAGTCACGGAGCTGGAAGACGTGGTTGCTGACAGCCAGGTTGTGCTGCAGGCGGAAGGGCTCCAAAACCACGCCGTCCCGCACCGGGAAGGTCAGCCGCAACTCTTCGCCGGGGGCCGGCCCTGCGGGACGCCGCCATCAGGGAAAGGACACCTTCCCCGGGCGTCAGCCACACCCTGGCCACGCCCCAGCCGCGCTCCGCCCACCGAACAAGGACCCACCTTGCAGGGAGCCCAACCTACGCGACCCTGCCCACCCTGGACACCGCGCCCCGGGCAATACAGGAAGCCCCTCCCACCGAAAGCGGCCCCACCCCTGGGGACCACCCCTCTCCCACCCCTCTGGAGGAAGCCCACCCCACCGCACATTCCTCCCGCTCGCTCCAGGAAATCGCACCATAGCCAAGCCCCTCCCGATCCACCCTAAATGCAGAAGCCCCCACCAAATCAGCACTCCTATAAAGCCCCGCCCCCTGAGGCCACACCCTTTTAGCAAGCCCCTCCCACTAATCACAGGCAGCCCACTCCTGCCTCAATCAGCCCCCAAACCCCGGCAGTGGCCACGCCTCTTCTCTGAATTCCCTCCCACCTTCCATTTAAGGGGAAAAGGCCAGGGAGCTGTCAGGAGCGAGGTCTGCACGGTACACACGGGGGGTGATCTCTGCAAAAGTCCCCCTCACCCGCAGCAGGGACACCCACCTGAAGGGGATGGGTGCAGGGGGGCAACGCTGGGCTTCATGTCTGCCAGGAAGGGTGACTTGACATCCTGCCCAGGGGACGCATAGGTGGGGATGCCACTGCCTGGTGTCATGGGCGGCGTGGGGTTCCCGGCCAGCGGCGAGCTGGGGTAGCCCGGCAGTGACCGGCCCGGCTGTAGAGGCAGCACGTGCCCTCAGCGTCCAGCCAGGCCAGCAGAGCCCCCGCGCCGCCCGCTGCCACACTCACCCCATTGACGGCTGCTTGGCTGTAGGTGCTGAAGCTGGCGCTCTGCCCATTGAACTGGTCAGGTGGCTATGGGAGGAGAAGGGTCTCCAGGGGCTGGCACCAAGGCATGGTGGACACCCAGACCTCCACCCCTTGCCCACGTTCCCCTGTGGTACCTTGTAATAGGGTCCAGCACTGACTGAAGTGGAGAGGTACTGGCCCACACTCTGCTGCAGCCTGTGGCCAGGGTATGAGGGGGACGGAGCGGAGGACTGGGGGGCGCTGGGGGCATACTGGGCACCAGCTGCAGCGTACTGCCCGCCCTGGAGGTACTGCTGCGGTGGGTACCCCTGTGGGGCCAGGGAGTCAGCACCAGTGGGAAAGGGGCCCAACCACATGCCATAGCCCTCACCAACGCGGCACTCACCTCATTGGAGTACCCCCGCTTGAGGCCCTGGCGGGGCAGCTGCTGGCTCT